TATGTAACAAAATCTCAGATACACCAATGTCCCAATACTTTACATCAACGCGCATACAGACACTGAAATAAATCCTGTCAAAAAAAAGCAAACTTTAACACTTTTATTAGTAATTAGGATATTATTGGAATCAAATTTCCAGTATTTTTTTCAAATGCCTAGGTATGAATTTAATATTATAAATAAAACACATTTTAAGTTTTAACGATTTAGTGACGGGTTATCGACATCTTACCGCACGCTGCTTATTAATTTATAAATACAAAAATATATTATTTATTGCTTAATATTTAGTAGATAAGTAATATTGTACTAGCTACGTCTGTAGACTTTATAGTGTATTTAGTCGTAAGTAATCATGTGAAGCGCACTATTTCTATACTAATGAACCATCTATGAAATCTAGTATTGTCGTAGATACTAAATGATACCAATCCAACCGAAGCAAATAATACTTCTAATATTGTAATAAATATACTATATAGGCGCACACTTAAGTGTAGGATGGTTGTTGTGGGTGGATGGTGGAGGGTTGGAGGGTACTCCTTCGATTATTTTCTATCTTGTGAACGTGGGTATATATCGTATACGGGACATAGCTGCGCATTAAGGATCAGCGAATGAATGGTAGCAAAACTATTTGTCAACCCCATAGAGTAAAAGGTTACAGTTTAAGAGTTTTTACAATAGTTTASCACTAAAAAATTTGTTCTCACTATGCTAGGAAATAGGATCTATTATAGTTTGTAAATTGTTTTTATGTAGGTATTATATACCTTTTAAATATTATAACTCATAATAATTAATATCTTCTAGTTAYAGAACCCTAATACATTATTATTTATTTACCTAAAAATTGTTAAGTAAAACATACATTTTAACTCTGAAATATAATCAATTGTAATATAATATATAGTATGTAAATCAAATTAAAGAATGATGATCGAAGATTAATATTTACTGTTATAAAATCACAACAATATTAAKCAGTTGATATTAATAATAATATCTCAATTATATATCTATAATAAAATKATTTTTTTTTTTATACTTTTAAGCTAAAAACTTTTGTATTTATTCACTACAATCGAGAAAAAAATATTTTAATCAAGCAAAAATTGATAAAAACAATTTATTTAGTAAGATGATTTTAAGCACGACATAATTCCTCACACTGATCAATGCGTGAGTGAGTCTCTTAAAATTTGACACCTCTTAAAATGCTCTTGAAAATCAGAAAATGCCTACTTTGCTCCACCCTCCCCTCGATGTGCGCCTACGATATAAGGAATACGACCCCGCAAAATATTGTATAGGTAACCGTTTACCTACACAAAATTATTTTACCGTGTACAAGTATCCAAGCATAATAATATAATAATATTTAGAAACAACAGTGTCAGGCGCCGTAACGACWAATCATTTACCTGCAACGATGGCGTGTATTATCGTGTGCTAGTTACAATAACGGTCTTTAATATGGCACGCTGATGGCGGCGGAGTCGTGTTTTCGTTCGGCAGCGGTGAGTGACAAGTCGACTTGGCTATAATTATAATAATAATTATTATAATGATGACTACTTTAATAATTTTTATATACACTATATATATATTATGTGTGTATGTAAAAAACAATGTATATAATAAAAAAAA